TTCTCATCTGAGAAATGACATTTTCCTCCCTTCTTTTAAACCCCACCTTCCTTCCATCCCCCACATACCTTTGAATTTTATAAAGATTTCTTCCTGTATCACTAAGGTCCCAATGATCTTGCCATGTTGTTTGTGCATATTTCTGTATGAATGTTTTAACCTCCGCTTTACTGAGTGGAACTTCTATGTTCATACTTCTGAGTGTTTGTTTGGCCAGAATATCCACCTGTTCATTACCCACCACACCAACATGAGCAGGAAGATCTTCTTCTTCTGCGGCCACAAATACTTTTAACAAAGACATCGCCCCATGCTGGTTACTTGGGTAAAATGTGCTTTTGTTGAACCGTTGAATTATAGCTTGTTATACAGTAATTCCGATTCACAGTAGAAATCTAAAGTGATCTATAGATCATTAGGTAATAATGACCTAAAACAATAATGATGATTAATACATACACATGTATATGTCCCTATTGCTTAAAATGCTGTGTGTGTTTGTTCCAATTCAAAACAGCATCACCTGTGTTTGTTGTTATTCTGCTAGAAAATCATTTTGTACTGTGACGCCTGGGCCATGGGCAAAAAAAAATCAAATTGGCTAATTCTGGTATTTTCTTATAGTTATAATATCCCTTCACATTATATACAGGGGTTCCTGCTACATGTGTTATGCCTTTTATCTGTATTTATGCAAATGTCAGCAGAAACTATTACAAACATTTGTGAAAATGTATTTTAAGACGCAAAAAAAACGTATTGGAAGAAACGGTGTGTCTTCTTCTGTCAACTCCACATGTGACGAGCAGATGCTTTAGCATCCCTAATTCTTCATACATTTTTAGGTTGATGGTAATGGAAAAAATGTTTTCCCATTCTGCATTTGGTGTTTTTTACAGTCGAGGGGTCTTGTTGATCTACAGACATTTTTTTTATATATTGCTGTCAGAGGTTTGGAGAAGATCTTGTACTTAAGTCAAAGTAGAAGTACCGGAGTGTAGGAATACTCCGTAACAAGTAAAAGTCCTGCATTCAAAATGTTATTTAAGTAAAAGTTTTAAAAAGTATTGGCATTCAAATATAACTAAAGTACCAAAAGCAAAAGTACTCAGTATGCAGATTTGCCCACTTCAGAATAATATATATTATAAGTTTTGATTATAATTATTGATCATTAAAGTGTTATCAAAGCTGGTAAAGGTGCAGCTAGCTTTAATAACTGTGTATGCTGCAGGGTAGCTTGTGAATGTACTCCAAGTGTAACTAAAGTCTTATTGAAGTGTTGATTATATTTCACATCATTAATCCAAATCTGTAAAGTAACTAAAGGTACAAAATATATTTAGTGGAGTAAAAGTACAAGATGTACCTCTGAATTGTAGGGGAGTAGAAGTACAAAGTAGCATAAAATGGAAATAATCAAGTAAAGTACAAGTATCTCAAAACTGTACTTATGTACAGTACTCAAGTCGATGTACTAAGTAACTTATCACCTCTGGCTGTTTTAAAGTCCTTGCCAAAATAATTCACATTTCAGTATGTTCTTTTATGGGCCTTCATCCACACTGAATTTGCTAGTTAGATACATCTTAGTTGTAAACCTACAAATGTTCATTGTTACAAATTATGCCAGATTTCAATACAATTTGGGGAAAAACAATATTTCTAATGGTTTTATATTATCTAAATACAAGAAAAAACAAACAAGAGAATGTTAAAAATTGGACAACCTCAACCCTAATGACTGGCTCTTTGTGTGTCTTTACTGAGTAAAGCCTATGGGATAAATAAAGTTTTCTGAATGTGATTATATTATGACATATATTATTATATATAGAAAAATGTCCCAATTTGGGATCTATAAAGTACATCTTATACAATGGTAATAAGACACATGTATATGTCCAATGGAAAGGCACCAGGATAAAAGATAGAAAGAGCAGCTTCACCGTGTTACTCAGTGATACTGTGAGTGACCTGATTTAAAGATGAATGAGCACAATGGACAATTAGGCTCCCAACACTTCTATATAATGTATATCATGAGTGGGTTTTCTTGTAAGGGCATGGGGTTTGCATCCAAAGTCCTATAGTGTGTGATATGTGTTCATCATTTATTCACACCATTTTTCTTTTTTTACAATATTTATTCTCTTTCTTCCTCTGTCGTCTCAGGTGTGTGTACATTTTTTTTTGTTGAAATACAAAACCCAGCATTAGTTTGAGCAAAGAGCTTAGCTGGCTGAGAATCCTGATGCCGCATTCAGGTAATTTCAGAGTTATTGTAATTAAGACAACCATCGTCTATATGGCGTTTATGTCAAAAATATAAGTCGTAGTTTTATTTTTACTACAACGGTTATCTCACATTTTTAAAGCTCTTACGTGGGCCTATTGATATTAACCGATATTCACACAATGGGTCGATCATGCAAGCTACTTCAGCCGGGGTTTTATCTTGAGAGGAAATTACACCCATAATGACATGGATATAGGTTAGTGGAATTACATTAATATTATCAATAGTATTCATTATTTTTAATCCGTACATGATCAACACTTACGTTGATAAACAGTTGTCTTTAACACTTGCAACCAGTCTCAAACGTACAATTCCCCCCATTTAACCAACATGACTTGAACGCGTCAGGGTTGCCAGGTTTTGGATATTGTCAACTTCGGTTTGTATGTGAAAGTGTTGTAGGCCTACATTATAAAAAAATAATCATGCGTTTCTTTTAGGTAAATGTTGCTGTTATTATGTAAAACATCCGTTATAATAAATCCGTTTTAATTATTATTATTATTATTATAAAATCATTTATTTATTTAAAAGTCGGTTCTATTTCAATCGCTTTACCCATAAATACTTGATTTACTTTTAGCATATAAACAGTTTACATCTCTATCCAACAAATATTTTTCATTAATCTACTTCTGATGATACATAATGTATTACAATCCTGTTTTTACATTAATTGTATTCACCTGCAATGGTGTCTTCCAGACATTTTTAGTTTTTTAATTAATGATTTACTGATAAATCTTCCCTATGTTTTAACTTGTTATATTTTAATTATTGTATTCTCTTTTCGCTTGTACTTACGTTATTTGTGTTCCTTTTGTTATTATTGTTAATTAATACATATTTAATGAGCATTGTTAAAGGAAGCCTGAGATCACATATTTGAATTGCCAACTACTTTTTCTCTGTAATTGTTGTGCAGACGTATGATTATAAAGAGCATGAACCTTAAAATAACACTTAAAGGTGTATTATTGTATATTCGTGCGGTGGGGACAACCTGGAGAGTGTTCCTGCTCGGCCTGCGGCTGTTCTGGGAGGAGTCCCACATACCTGGCAACACCGACGGGCGCTTTGTTAACACTTCATTGAGCCAAGATGGCAGATTTCGATGAGCTCAGCAATGAAGAGAAGGTATTACTTTATAAATTAATTGTATTATTATTCTTTTACCCTTAGTGTTTGTCTGGGATAACACCAAAGCTTTATGCAACGCTCACGTTGTAGCATGAATTGCAAACGGGCCGTATTAGGCGTGTGCTGGTGGAGCTAGCTAAACCGAGGCAGTGTTTGACAGTTCAGAGTTGTATGTTGTTCCTGTGCACAAACGCACAAGTTAGCTAACTTATATGGCTGTCTTTACTTAAAAAGTAACATATGAGTACGGGCTGAGCTTGAGTTTAGAATATTTAAAAAAGCTAATGCTAAGATGTAAGGAAGTCGAGCTACTTCCTGCATTTACAGTAAGGATAATGAGTGCATCGGCAGACTAACACCACCCACACCCAGTTCACTACAACTTCATGCAGCCCCTTATACTGGTCTCGCCGACATCAGAAGTTATAGTTAGTGTATCGAGTTGGTTGAGTTTGCAAGTATTATGTATTTAGCTTGGGACTTTTGCACTCAGTTCATGGGACAGACGCAGTTTTCCTGCAGTGTTATTGGGGCTTGCAGCGACTGGCTGCCTCAAGCTGCTACATGTTGAAAAGTAATGCTCTGCATTCCTACAGCTGATGGAGCTGCTAGGGGCTTACCCCTCCCAAAACTGCTACAGTGACCCCTTTAAATACATTTAAAGAAGTCAGTGCAATAAGTGTTGGGAATTCCCCTTTCTGAATTTTAATGGACATATCCTTTTTATTTAAATGTATAAAACTACTTTTGAATATAGTATCCGATGTTTATGTTGTATTATTAGGCTGATTTATTGTAGTGTATTTTAACTTGGTCTGTATATTTCAAATTGTGATGTCCTGCCTTGCTAACCCACTGCTGCTGTAATAAAATAATGTCCATATTTGGGATAAATGAAGAACGGGAAATATAATACTTCTGATAGCATCTTAATCAGACATAAGCTCAGATTGTTTTACTGCTTGTCTGTGCCTTGGAGGCCTTTCTAGGCACTGAATGGAGCCACTATTCAGGAGTGTGCTGAAACTAGGTTACTCATTGTTATGCCCCTCTGGCCTTTCAGCTGGACAGGCCATTTGTAGGTCACGGCCAGCTGCTGCCTGGGGGCTCAATAACCCTGTCTGTCTGACAGACGCCATCACTGGCAAAGCCCCTCTATAATGTGGCAGGGACATTAAAAACTGAAAAAAGCTGCCACAAATGATTAATGAATTACAACTTCTCTCTTGAGAGTAAACCTCGCTTCCACATTTGTATATGCTGCCTGGATTGTTAAACTCAGTCCCTTTTTGAGTATTACCTTATGGAGCACTACCTGCAACAACTTCTACACCCTGCAGCTTTGACACCACATGCTTACACTTGCATTCTGGATGCTAAGAAAAGCCCTTGGGCGTCATTCACTGCTCGCCATCTAAGGAGTGGCCAAAATAAAGTGAACAAGCCCGCTGCCAAGAAAGTGATCAGACAGCTCTCTGCTTCTCTCTAGTGGCTGCCTGCATGTCTTCATTTTGCATGAATACAATACATTGGCTATATAAAAAAATAATAATCTGCAAATGTGGTTTATGATTAAAGAAAGTTCTTATTCTGCTCTACCACAGCTTGTTTAGGCATGAAGGGAACTCCCTCCATATTTTATACACTTTGTTTGTAATATTGCGATGCCTTCTACTATTTTCAAACATAATGACAAGTTATGTATTTCTAGGTCCGTATTTCGGCTAACTTTGTGATGCACGCTCCTCCTGGAGAGTTCAACGAAGTTTTCAATGGTGAGAGTCTTTCTGATTGGCATGTGTAGGGCAACCTGAATTTAACACTGGAAAACAATCGAACAATTTGTGAACGTGTTTACCATCTTAATTCTTTCTTTACAGATGTGCGAATACTGCTCAACAATGATAACCTTCTCAGAGAGGGCGCGGCTCAGTAAGTTTCATATTCTTTTTTTTTGAAAGTTGTAAGAAAATGATATTCTGGATGTGCATTGAACTTATGGTTGTATTCTTTCTTTTTCTTGAATCAGCGCCTTTGCCCAGTACAACATGGATCAGTTCACCCTTGCTAAAATTGAAGGATATGAAGATCAGGCAAGCTTATTAGTGAAATGTCATCATTATTTTACGTTATTAAGCCAATTCCTGCGTTAACAGGTGGAGTAATGGCAGGTTTCTCTGACCCATAAAGGTCCTGATAACGGAGCATGGAGACCTGGGTAATGGCCGCTTCTTTGACCCTCACAACAAGATTTCCTTCAAGTTTGACCACCTGAGAAAGGAAGCCAGCGAGCCCCAGCCGCATGAGGGCGAGTCGGGCCTCAGGTCCTGGAGAGACGCCTGCGATTCTGCTCTCAGGGCCTACGTCAAGGAGCACTACCTCAGTGGAGTTTGCACCGTAAGCTTTCCCAGACTGCACTGCAGCCATGTGTATCGTCGCTCACAATGAATCACTCATCCTGTGTTATCTGCCTCAGGTTTATGGGAAAACAATCGATGGCCAGCAGACCATTATCGCTTGTATCGAGGGCCATCAATTTGAGCCTAAAAACTTCTGGTAAGTTGATAGAGGATAATGATTTGAAATTCAATGTATGCACTTAATCAATTATGTTAAAGTGTAAAGGCAGTGATGTTTTAGATGTGTTTGGCATTGTTTTTTTGGTGAACTGTTTTCTTTTCTCTGTCTCCAGGAACGGCCGCTGCCGGTCTGAATGGAGGTTCAGTGTCTCGCAATCTACAGCTCAGGTGGTTGGAGTCTTGAAAATACAGGTAGGTGGATAAATGTTTAGGTGTAGTATGAGTTTAGCTGTGAAGTTGGTTCTGTTTCACTTTAGTGTGCATGTCTTCTTTTTTATTTCCAGGTACATTATTATGAGGACGGAAATGTACAGCTGGTCAGCCATAAAGATGTACAGGAAGCACTGACCGTGTCTGTAAGTAGGACATAATCAAATCGACCTATTGGAATATATCATAGTGCTTTATGTTTAAGTGTGTTTTAAGTTGTTTATTTAAACAACACGTATTTTTTGGCAGAATGAGAGCCAGACTGCAAAGGAGCTTGTGAAAATTATTGAGGATGCAGAGAATGAATACCAGGTATGTGGAGGTTAAAGAGACTTTCTAAGCACAAATGGAATAGTACTAATAACTTTTTCAAGAGTATATAATCCTGTGAAACAAATATTCCTTGTGCAAGTGTTATCTTTGAATGAGCCTTTCCTATTCACACAGAGAGCAGATCCTATGTCCTCATACAGTAGGAAGCAGGTTCCCGGTTCATTTCCCTTAAAGCTGCTCAGTCGCCCATGAAGCAAAGGCTATTTGTGCATTTAACAACTTTAAGGAACCATTGATTTCAATGAGGGCTATTCCAGTGTTCCTAATGGAGAGTGTACCTGAAAAAATCACATCATTTTCTTCCCTAATGTAAGTCTATGGGAAAAGCTATTTTTGGGCCCTGGTATCATGTTACCAAAGTGGTGTTTTCAAGTTGTTTTGGTCGTTGTGATAGTTGGCTCCAAAGCAAAACTCGTCTGGGAGGGCTTCCACAGAGTCCATGATGTTGCACCAGCATGTATTGTTGTATCCCAGAACAGGCAAAGTAAAGATGAGCTTATTGGATGCGATTCCAATAAGTCCTATACACTCCTCATTTGAGAATAAGATGAGTTGCCCTCATATGTGTCAACATTGCCCCGCATACTGAACAAGACATAAAAGACTCATTTGATTCAGAATGCTGCTTCTACATTTCCAAGCACTACCACAAAAGTCCAATATGCAATTTGAATCATTATCAAAATCAGATTTTCAGACCAACATGCCTAAAATAAAACGTTAGATCTCGAGGAATTTGAATGAATAGTACTAGCAGTAGATTTAACAAACACATACAGAGTACAAAGCTGTTTCATAGCAAATATACACACTCAAATTTTCACATTTAAATGCAACACAAACAAACATTTTAAACAATTTACATGACTCATAGGTTCTGTTTTGTTTAGAACATGTTCAATTGACTGTCACTGGTAGATGCCATCCTGGTACAACGTGTGCTTATCTGTGTTGTGTTTCAGGTGGCCATTAGTGAGAACTATCAGACCATGTCGGACACCACCTTCAAAGCCTTACGCAGACAGCTCCCAGTCACCCGCACCAAGATCGACTGGAACAAGATTCTCAGCTACAAGATTGGCAAGGAAATGCAGAATGCTTAGAGGACAGACGCTGTTTGGGTGGCGACAAACGAACGAGAAGAAGCTGATGCTCGTGCAAAGATGTGTGACGCACCGTAACGTACTGTATGTCCTGCTAAAAGAGACATTTGTTTGGGGTCTTTACAGAACAAATAAAGCCTTCAGTGACACTGTGAAAGCTTGGGTCATTCCTTGCTGTCCAAATTCTTAGTCTCATGGTAAACAAACATAGTTTCTGATCCCTCAGTGCTTCATAATGGACTCGCATCCTCCCACAACTCCTTGACTATCCTGTAGCAACTAATTAACCCTCTCTATATAACAAAACTGATATTCTTTAAGAGCTTCCAATACCCCCTATAGTTTTTTATTAACAGAAGGCAAATACTGTATGCAATTTGATTTATTAGCAGAGACACTTAACATCACCAAATGATTTGGTTTAGTCTAATGTGTTTATATGTATGCATCTCTCTGGACGCAGGGTTGTAGCCAAAGCATCAACTTTCTTTGCCCATTTCCCTACTATATTCCCTCTTGAAGTTCTTTCTCTCGTCATAGATTTTGAAAGCCATTTTTGGTTGTAACCCCTCTATACTCCCCTGGAATGATAAAAGTATTGGTGTCCTCCAGCCAGCGGTTTGCCTTTAGCTTTTGCTATATTTTTTATACAATCATTGTACATTTATTATTCATGAAATAAAAGTATGATCTTCAAGCAATGTTGATCATTTGTGTGTTACATCTTGTGTTGAGTTTCTTTTACAGCGCCTGGGCACTATATGCTTTATTCTGGGAATCTTTTTTGACTACATTTGATTGCTCGAGTCTAGGAAAACAACTGAATAAATTAAATTACATCTAGTATCCCCCAATCAAACAGCCTGACAACAGACCATAATGTAGTGGAATACATTTTGCATTATATAAAATAATGCAGCCTGTTTTCTTAACCCAGATGCACGAGTGACTGGACCCACACTCTTCCATAAGTGGGTCAAATAGGACCCGTATTAGAATAATGTGTTTTTATGCCATTTGTCATTTTGGTTAAGAAAATCACTTGTATAATATTTAGTATTATATTTTGGTTCACAATAGAAATATTTTATATTTAATTTTTCACTATTTATAATTGTAGACATTTTTTTTACGTTTTGAAAAAAAAACGAAATTCGATAGAAAATGCATGCGGGTCATTTTTGACCCACTTATGGAAGCTTGGGGTGGTAATACAAAAACTACAATTTCTTAAAATGTAAATTAAAAATTTGAATGGCATGATATCCAAAACATGTTTTTTGAGGAATAGCTGGAATATGAAATGATAAAAAAATGTAATTACAAAGATACTTTAAGAAAACCACCTCACCGGGTCAAAAAAGACCCACTTATGCATCTAAGGGTTAAGGAGAATTGTGATGTGAATTTGGTCCAATGACCTTCAAGTCCCTAATGCATTCATATATTTTGCAGATGTATAGTGTGCCTAGCATTGGAAATTCACATGTGTGTTGTAAACCAAATTTCTCTGAGATTTGCTTATAATTAAGCATTCAAAGTATGTCACTGAATACTCCTTTCGGTACATTTCATTTGTCTTTGCTATACATTACACGTTTTTTAATGAACAGAATAAAACTCCTGCAAGCCATTTTTGAATCAATACATGCCAAATATTTGGTGCTTGCTGATTTTCCTTGGTTTAGCAAACTCATTATATTTAAGTGGTGTAAAATCATTTTTCTAAATAAAAAGTTAGCCTTTGCTCTAAATAGGTGTCTGTGTGTGTTGAAAAAATAATTGTAGTGCAGAATGCCACGCTTTCAAATATGTAGATGTGCTGCTCTTTGGTATTGTCATACAGTCTATGGTCATGAGGTAATTGCACTACATATTTGGGTTTTGAATTGCCATACTAAAGGGCTATAGCCTACTAATCAAATGCGAAATGACACATTGCATATCCTTTGGCTTGATATTTCAAAAAGTATCACTCACTCAACAGCTTAATCCATTAAATGTATAATGACTGACTACAGCCAAAGTGTATTTTAGTATTGTGAAAACATTATATTATGTAATCGATGGGAACGCCCATTTCACATGACTCCGCACGCGGCTGTGAGCCTAGGGAGTGTCATCAAAAACATGAGGATGTGTACTCCTCAAATAAGGTTGTAACGGAATTTTTAAAAATCATCTAGAACTTATGAGGCATATGTAGGTGGTAGAGTTTACACTGAAGCTCTTTGTGTAGACTATTGTTTTTTTTTAGTCGCTCTGGTGTCTTCGTTTTTTCTCTGTAAGACAATTGCAGACGCTCTCTTCCGGTTTCCGTTCCGGAGACCGTTCACCAGCTTGAATTTTGCGGTAAACTGCGTTAAGTATTTGATAAATGTATCATTTTATCGCCATTTAACCCAAAAAATGAACCAGAAATCGAGGCCCGGTTTAACTAATGTTTCCTTCAGACATGCGCAAAAGTGCCGCAAAGTGTAACATGTGGAAATGTTGTGCGCATTTCAACCAACAGCTACAGTGATACTTGGGTTGATAGTTGAACTTCCTCATTGTGATTCAGCCCTCAGACAGTAGCGGCCTGTAGCTCACCAACATGTCTCGTAAACAGTCGCTTAAATCCGGGCAGGACTTTATTGCATTTCTGGGAGACAGAATATCCAATAGTATCTCTAAAGAGGAACTTCGGGCAATCTACTACGCTGAATTTAAGGGCAGGTAAGCTGGAAAATCAGCATGTGTCACATGCAGTTGTTGGACTTGGCTGTTATGATACTCCTGTTGTGTTTGTATTGTCACAGGAAAGGATTTAAAGACCCCAGCTTTTCCTCTGTTGTCTACGCCCTAGTGAAGTCCAACAAAGCCATCTTAAAACAGGAGAAAATCTATTTAAATGTCAAACCTCAGGTAAGATGAGCCGTCATTTCACTAGTGCAAAGTGTCCCCACTAGCTATCACCTGCAAAATGTCCAGAGATGTAAAGTAACTAAGTACATTTTCTCAAATATTTTACTTAAGTACAATTTTGAGAGACATGTAATTAAAACTAGCTGCACCTTTACCAACTTTGCTAAACACATTGAGGCATCAATAATTATAATCAACAAATTAACATATTATTCTTAAATGGGCTACTTTGCATAATGAGTACTTTTACTTTTGTACTTTAAGTATTTTTTGACGATAATACTTTTGTACTTTTACTTGAGTAATATTTTGATTGTATGACTTTTACTTGTAACAGAGTATTCCTTCACTCTGGTACTTCTACTTCTTTTTGTATTCTTTAGATCTGAGTACTTCTCCCACCTCTGAAAATGTTATTAGAAAATGATGTTGGAGAGATGTTTATGCGTTTTGCGTGTCTTTGCCAAGGGGAACATTGTCTTATAATCTGCATGTGCTCCTGCTGTGAGAAAACAAGACTGGATATGTTTTATTTATTTTTTAAATACAGAATTAAAATGAAGACACAACCAATATTTTGAATCCCTGCTGTAGGTTCCAGTGCACTGTGACCAGCCGAGGAGGCCCCGGGCCCCTCAGTCGCCCCACACCCCTGGCTCTGGCTCCAAGAAGAAGACCGCGAAGACACTTTCACCCTCCTCTGCCCCCTCTACCCCGGTGACCCCGGTACTCACTCCAAAGAAAAAGCTGGCAGCGGAAATCCTGCGCAAGTTAAAGCTGAACAGGTATGTGCCTTATCACCTACAGTATAATGTTGTCAACTATAATGTTGTCATTATACTGTAGGTGCAAGGTGTAAGCCTCCGTGCTTACCCCAGGTTTTTACATGTGCATCCATTATATTACTTTTCAAAATAAAACTCTTCACTTGAGATCACATCCAGCTTAACCCATGCATTAATAGATTCAGTTGAGGTCATCATTAGGAGATAACAGGGTGTTGAGCGTTACTAATGTTTATTTTATTATCTTTGCTTTGCCATTTTCTTAATGTCTTTCATTTTTATAAAGCACTTTGAATTGTCTTGTGTTGAAAGATGCTATATAAATAAACTTGCCTTGCCTTACTAAATTAAAAAAGTAACTGGAGCAGCAGAGGGGTTGAGAGTCCATGATAGGTGTGGAAGGGGTCTTACATTATGCATGTGGCTTTGTCAAGGTCAAGGTTAAACTCTATTGTCATTAGGAATGCACATCAGCATATATTCGGACTGTGGCTGCGAGGAAGTGCGGTCGCAAAATATATAATCGTAGCAGTAAAGGGATAATGGTTAACAAATGTATATTTAAAAGAAAGATGTAGAGTTAAACCAATTTGTGACGATTCCAGTCACTTTTTTACTGTAGAACTTGGTACAGGTACTTTGACTTTTTAAGTTTCTTTAAGATGTACAGCCATTGCTTAGCCATCTTTATCAGAAGGGATATGTGCTTTCCCCTGACTCATCTGTTGTATCTTTGTTTTCACTGGTTGAAACCATAGGTTGAAACTAGTTCTGCTTACCACCTTGTAGCGTTTTATTATCACTTCAGGGCAGTTGCTCCTTGTCCTTTCCCACAAGGAGTTACAAGGTTCACTTGTTCTCCGATATAATGTGTCACAACTTTTTCCGCAGTGTTAGTCACTGCAGAATTACTGTGAGATATCGAACCCCTTTGCTTGGTTTTATAACTTTTTACCTTATTAACAATACATATAAAGACATTTTGTTTGAAGGACTCATTTCAGATTTCAACCACAACGGTTAAATTGCCTATAGGAGTGAATCTAAGAGTGAATAATTGTCTTTGCATATGTTTCATCCCTGTGATAGACTTTCTAGTGGTAGATTGTGGATTAAGGGTTAGGGCACCAAGCATGAACTGCTGTTTCCATCTTGCCTGTGACCTTTGTATCTTTTCGACCCCCTCTCTCCTTTTCCCTAATTTCCTGTCGTATCTCCACTGATGGTTATCAAATAGTTCTAAAAAGCTAGGCAGATTATCATCCAAAAATGTAATAAAACTCTTGAAACCCCCAAGAGAAATAATGGAATTCAGACCCAATTCTCCACCCAATGTTAACATTTTTCACAATTTCAATGAAACTCAATTAAATGTTTTTACTGTCATTCATCTCATATTTGACAGTTTATGGAGACAAAAAACAAGGGGAGATAAAGAGTTTTGACCTAGATCCATGACCAGAAATGAATGGTAAAAGTTTGACTTTTTTATGGTTATAAGTTTTACAGATGTGCACCCTGACCAGGTCTTTCTCTCTGTCTCACAGGAAAAAGATGACAGCTGACAAGGGCGGCATTCAAATCACCTCAGACCCTGCTGCGATCGGTGGAAAGGTCCAGTTCACTGTGGAGCGTCTGAAGGAGTTGTTCCTCATCAGGTTTCACATCGCAAACAAGGGCACACACTGTGTCAACTTCACCTTCTACACTGCCCTGCACAATATGCACTGTTTCACTTTGGAGGACGAGAGGAGGGTGACCAGAGCTTGTCCCCTCTTCCTCTCTCCAGGTGACACTTCTAACACTCCTCCTCTCTGTTGTCATTAACAAAAAACACACTGAGGTGGAGGTCAGTGATGCTCACAGCTCCTACTCTGCTTCCTTTCTTTCACAGGAGAAAGCTATGAGGTTTTGGTTCGTTACACACTGAAACACTATGGATTTTTCCCCACCACGATGTACTTTGAGTTCTGCGCAGATCTGCCGGGAGCCGTGCCCTTCTGCATCGTGAGGGATATGGAAGCTGCAGCCAGGACCCCGCTGGCTGTGGAGCTGGGGCCCGTGTCTCCTTACAAACCATACAAGGTGGTCTCATACAGGCGTGGGGGCAGAATGATAGTGGAGGGAGTTCCACCTGAGAGGTACGTTATTACAAACTAATTGTAAACCAGTTCAAGTCTCAAAATAGAAATGGAGTTTTAAGGCTGGTTATTAAGGAGATAACTATAAATCAGGTACCACAGATTTTCCATATTGTGGGTTTTTTGTGGGTCCAGAGGAAGCAGAAAGTCTTGGAACTGACCATTGTCTGATCTAAAATGTTTATGGATTTCAATGAATTATATTAAAGTCAGAATTAAATGGGAATAAACACATTTGCCCATACATTCTGGATTATCAACGTCAACATTTTAAAGATCTTATTTAAATGCTGGCCCCTATGATTTGAAACTTAAAATAATGTAGACTAGAGTGTAACTGATAGAACCAGAAGATGGTTTTACTAATTTAAAATGGAATGAGTACAGATTTATTTTCGCCAGCAGCAAGAAATCCGATATTACAGATTACGGTACACATATTTGATTTGGAAGCTCCTTGTAATTGCAACAGATGGACCCGGAATAGTCCCAGAAACAGTTTTTTATTAATTTATAATGTGTTTGTTTATAATGTGTGTGCTTGTGTTTTTGTTTTGTTCTCTGCAGGCCTGGGGTCCAGCCTTTACAGTCAACATTGAAATTAGGAAACTTTAACTACCCCAAATACCTAAAGGGACTGAGGCTGGAAGACTCTGAGTCTCCATCAACCAAGCAACACCTGTCATTAGTGAAGTGAGAGCATGACCTAATTACCTAAAGCTTCACCAACCCTGTATTTTCTGATCTGAACTCCCTCATGATCACAATGTGTGTCTGTGTGCGTGTTTGCTGTATATCCAGGAGTCTCCTTGACGCTCCCTTAAAGATGAAGAGCTACGCTCATCGATTTCACCTCCTGCTACACCTGGAAGAGGTACAGATGGAGAGGGACATCCAGAACTATGACCTCCACAATCAAACCATGACCCCTGACCAATTAAACAAGAAACTGCTTACACTCAGGGTAAGGAATCCTCACAGTACACTTTTTAAAAAGCAGCAACAACAAGTCTAATTATTATGAGTCTAAAGCATTTTCATGATCTAAGATTCTAAGCGATGCCAAGTAGTCTTTATGCTTTCTTTGTATGATTTTCTATTATTTTAATGTTGTTGTCCTCTGTATGTAATGTAAGTTCAGTTTAGGAAATACTTAAGCTCATATTTTATTTGAGAAAAGTTTTGTTTGTGTGACAAATTACATAGATGGTGAATCTATGTATCTAATTATTAGTAATCATTCCTCCATGTTTGTATGGTTTTGTAGTGATATAGTGGGACTGTGCTTAGGTTATGTGTCTGTTTGCAGTATGTGCTGGATTTTAACAATTAGTTCTGAAACACAGCGTGGCCAAACATTATTTATGTCTTCAACAATAGTGTGCTATTAAGATTTCGGGAAGTCTACAGGTTTGGATCACAACACGTTTTTGACCGTTTTTGTAATTTATTATAAGAATCAAGCATCATGTCTGCAGTGGAATGGGCGAGATGCAATTAGGATGGACATCACCTGCCATGATTTAATTTAGTTTAAATATACCCTTGTTTAAGTTGAACCTGCCTTTTGGGAGTACATTGGGTCTTCACAGAAACTTGGAAATAATTTGAAACGGATCAGAACTGAAAGACTCGCAGACAATGTGGCCTGGGAACTTGGAGTAGTGTAAAAAAGGCCATCACATCCAGTGTTTGAAACGAATAAAACATGCATGATGGCCAACGCTGATATTGTTCAACAGGTTCCTGGTGTTGCTGAGAATCGGCCATCTGTACTACGAGGAGACTGTCTGAAGGTGACCAAATGTGGAAACGATGACACCGTGTACAATGGATACGTTCACAGTGTGGAGCTGGATAGTGTGAAGCTGGGCTTCAATAAGAGGTGAGAGCGGCACTACAGATACATGTCCATTTAAAACATAGTGAATGTCTATGAAAATGAATAAAGCATCTAACTCGAACACTTCTCCCACTTTCCACCTGCTTCAGATTGTTGCAGATTTTTTTCCCCAACATGAAGTTCGACGTGGAATTCACCGTCAACCGGTTCTCCTTGAGGCTGCAGCACCGTGCCGTGGACTTGGCAGTAAAGCATAGGCTGGAAGAGGTGCTGTTCCCGTCTGGTGCAGCAGTGGCTACTCTCCCTATGCCTAAACTCAGGTGTGAGGCCTACACACACAAAGTTAATGCTTATAGATCACTAGTTGATGAGTAAGGGATAATGTGCAGCGAGGCGGTCATGCTGATCAAGATCAGTCGGGCTCCTGATCTGCCTGTCGGGTGTTCTTTTCCCCATAATTGATTGATTGATTGATACATTTTATTTCGAACAAGTAAAATAAATAATTACAAAAAACAAAGAAATGTTGCAGTGCATAGTCATGTAAGAGAAAACAAAACAAAGTGACATTTACAACTACAACAGCATTAGCAACATAAACAGTCTAGTAATCTAGTGTTCGAAAAGGAGTGAGAAGAAGTCGCTGCACATTATCCCGCTTATTACATGGCCAAATTCTCAACAAAGTAACGATATGACTCCCAATATTAATTGAAATGCTTTTATGGATTTAGAAAATATTTGTATTGATTTAAAAAATAGTTTTATTGATTTAAAATGACATGCATCCGCTAAGAAAAATAGTGCGTTGTTATCGTTTGAACTACGTAGCAACGGCAGGAAGGCGGAGCTTTTTGATTACGGATTTGAAAACATCGTTGCTTGCTTTAAAAGTAGCACAATTCATTATGTTAAACCTTGGAAAGTATCTAGATATCCCTGCCCTAATGCCAAAGTAACTGGAAACTGAATATGTTTGCCCTTCGATGTCTATGTCTGGACCGTTGCGTAAAAAGGACCGCAGCTCCGTGTTGCCCCGTTACTTCTCCGCTGTTTTCTTGTCCCTCTCGTCTTTTTCTTTTCTTCGCTGGGGACTCATCAGCCACTAACCATTCATCCAAATTACTGTGCTCTCCAAATATATTAAAATGAATATTAAAATCCTCCATGTTGCTGTCAGACGGGAGACAACAGAAAACTAAAGATAAGCAAAAAGTTAGAAAAGCAAACTGCATGCAGTTTGCTTTTTTTCTGCAGATGTGAGCGTCCTTAACAACGGTCAATAAGTCCTTGACAGCGGTCTGTACTACTGGATTAACAACTTGTCACGTGTTCTGAATTGACCAATCAGAATCGAGTATTCAACTAAGCCATTTAATAAGATAAGATAAGATAACCCTTTACTAACCCCCAGAGGGAAATTCAGGTGTCGGATCAGCAAGAGCAATAAGAGCGAAACACAGGACAGGAAAAAAGTAAGAGTTCAAAATTTTAAAAAGAGAGTAGCTGACTCTACATTACATTACATGTTACTTGTTGGACGCTTTTATCCAAAGCGACTTACATACTCAATACTGTGGACAAATAGTCTAGCAGGAAGGGCCCTCAGATTTTGAGATACCCCTACCCGAGGTAGAACAAATGACAACAATGATATTTCTTATCTTTAGGGTCTCCCATTAATGAAATTGATTGTTGTCAAATTTTATTTTGGGGGAAAAAATGTTTTTTGGGTTGTTCTTTAGAACTACCCCAATCCCTGAAAAAGAGCCAAATTAGACCAGGCCGAATATGGGAAAGGTGACAAAAAAGCCCATAACTAGAGAAGTGATCACTCTTTTCCTCTTCAGATTTGCTGAGGTATGAACCAGGTGGCTGTCCTACATCTCCAAATAGTCAGAAAATGATTTACATAAAGAAATACTGAATTATAGTCCTGTAAACTTAGCTTTAGTTTAGACGGAAATTGTACTTTTTGGTGATAGGAACATAGGATTCAATCACTTTTCTCTCATTTATCAGAAATACTGAATTGTCTAGGGTGCTATTGAACACTAACCAGTAGTTGTATGGACATATCTGGTACAGTTCTATTGCAAATGAGATTTCTTTAGACATAGGCCTACCTCTTCTCTGATACAGTCAAACTCCGAATGGGGGAGAAGTGGCACAATAGCCTATAAAGTTAAGAATGCTCACTCTGATGGTCATTATATTTGCAGAGGGAAATACCAGGTGGCTGAACTACATCCCCAAATAGTCAGAATAAGAGTAACTCAATAAAATAAAGTGTATTAGTTCTAAATTGCAAGCCTCTAAAACATAGGTGTAAATATTACAGGTTTTATTGAAACTGGAACCTTAATTCAAAGTACAGTATACAATTCATCAAATAATTCTGTGAGAGGTCAAGTATATAGATCAGGGGTGTCAAACTCAAGGCCCGGAGGCCAAATCCGGCCCGCCACTTCATTTGATGTGGCCCACGAGAGCTTGCAAAGAATATAATCAGTTTATTATAAGGTCAACAGGAGAGGCACTGGCACTTTCCACTTCTCTCCACACTTTGCATCTTCTGCAATTACAAGTGAGTAATGTCTTCTCACTTCTGTAGGTGATGGGGTTTTGTAAATACCACTGGTTAATGGCCCCATCTCTGACAATCCACCCTGTTGCCAACAGTACTCCATAAACAAGGGTTTGGGTTCGGGCTGTGACACCATATCGCTGTCTGAAACATTGCTCTTTACATGTTGTTGAAATGCATCCTCTGTTGGCGGCAGATTTTCCGAGGCTGCATCTGTTGTTGATGCAATTATGAACCTCAGTTCATCCAAGTTTGTGCACATCAGTCCAATTTCCTTTTTATTTTTTTCATATAGCAGAAGCGCAAATTCTCTTGCGACTGGGCCAGATCTTTGAGCTCGCTGAGATGGGTCTTGAGTTTGGTGAATGCTGTTGTCTTTCCTATTCTGTACAAACTACGTGTTGTGCCACATCCAGTGAGTGCATGACATGCTGGTAGTTAGACATGAAGTTATCGCCCAGCTTCAGGACCATCTCCAACGAAACAGCCTCTTGAACTGGAAATTCCAGTCCGGTTTCCGTTCCGCCCACAGCACTGAAACAGCTCTGGTCAGGATCACAAACGACCTGCTGAAGGCGGCTGACGCTGGATCCCCATCTCTCCTCATCCTCCTGGATCTGACTGCAGCATTCGACACTGTCGGCCATAACATCCTCCTTCAGCGCCTCAAACACACCATCGGACTCTGACTCCGCCCTGAGCTGGTTCCAGTTCTACCTGTCTGGAAGAACAGAGTACGTCTCCTTGGGAGGTGCGAGGTCCCAGACACACCCTGTCACCCGTGGTGTCCCTCAAGGGTCGGTCCTCGGGCCCACTCTGTTCACCCTGTACACTCTTCCCCTTGGCTGTGTCATCAGCGTAGCATGGAATATCATTCCATTGCTACGCTGATGACCCGCAGCTATATATAAATACATGCATCCTCACTGTCACCATCATTATCACCGTTCCCATCAACATCCTTTAACACTTGCATTGAGGAGATAAAGACTTGGATGCAACAAAACTTCCTGCAGCTAAATAGCTCCAAAACAGAGGCTATTTTATTTGGCACACCAAACCAGGTCCAGTCATCCCCCATAACCCACATCACCTTTTCTGGCCAAAACATACCCCTCTCCACATCAGTTACCAACCTGGGTGTAAGATTTGACTGACATCTGACCTTTGACACCCACATCAAACACCTGTGCAATACCTCCTACTACCACCTCAGGAACATTGCAAAACTCCTGTCAGATGCTGAACAACTGGTCCATGCATTCGTCTCCTCAAGGCTCGATTACTGCAACGCTCTCCTCATCGGGACTCCTAGCAGGAGCCTTCAGAAGCTCCAATACGTACAGAACAGTGCTGCTAAGATCCTGATGAGGGTGAGAAAATACAACCACATCACACCCGTCCTTCATTCCCTCCACTGGCTTCCTGTCTCATTCATGATTGAATACAAGATCTCACTGCTCGCCCATCAGTGCATCCACGGGAACGCTCCTTCATACCTGAAGGAACTTCTCACAACACAAACCTCCAAACGCAACCTCCGCTCCAAAACAAACCATCTGCTTCGCCCACCGAGGAACAAACTCCGCACAATGGGGAATCGGGCTTTCTGTGCAGCTGCTCCTCACCTGTGGAATTCCCTCCCAGACCACCTGAGGACTTCCACAGACCACCTGAAGCCTTTAAGAAAGGCCTAAAAACATATCTTTTAAAAAAAAGCCACTCTGATTAACACTATTGTTAGTAACTTTTATGCAACTCCTGAAGCACTTTAGCAGTGAGTGAAACAAGAAGGCAGTCTACAATGACAATTCATTATCATGAGATTAATAAGTCATGTTTACACGAAGGTGTTGAATGGGGACATATCTCGCTCCCAGTTTCCATGCCTGCATGCATGTACACTAGAGATGAAAACATAATGGTGCTTGCATAATCTATGAGAGTATGTTCCCGACATCTGATGACATCAGACGACTCAAGATGTGGAAGTACTGCTCTACTCAGATGTATGCAATGCACTGCACCATCCTAGGCTGCGTCATCCTGTTCACTGTATTTCTACTGTGATGTCACAGCTGACACATGCAGAGCCCACATGGAATGAGAGAGAGAGTATGTCCCATCAACACCGCATGTGAGAAAATTGGAAAAGACATGTCTAACTGTCTACCAGCATGTCGTGCACTCACTGGCTGTTGGCACAAACAAGTAGTTTGTACAGAATTAGAAGACAATCAGCATCAGCAGATCGTTTGTGACCCTGACCAGAACTGATTCAGTGCTGTGGGCGGAACGGAAACCGGACTGAATTTCCAGAGACGAACCCAAACGTTTAGTTATGGAGATGTCCTGTTGGCGGGACAACTAGAATGATGTCACCAGCATGGGCCATACACGTTCCTGAGGAACCTGACATTTAACATTATATTCTAGGAAAAATCGTATATACTTGACATCTCACAGAATTATTTGATGATTTGTATACTGTAGTTTGATTAAGGTTTCCAGTTCACATACAACCTGACAATTTACACCTATGTTTGTAGTATGCTCTCGCAATGTTAGAAACTAATACACTTTATTGGTATTGCGTTTCTCGTGTTTTATCCATTCTGACTACTATAGATAGCTGTGAGCTTCAAAGCACCACCACTGGAGTCTCTTCTCCACTCCTCTGGCGCAGATGGGGGGGTTTGTAGCTAATCGTACGATGAGCATTCCAAAGGATTATTCCCTTCGGTGCATTCTGCATTCAGCCAGAAACTTGACTCAATAAANATTCCAAGTCAAGTGCATTTTCTTTTCTCTGTAGGATAACTACAACAAAGTGCATTCAGAACAAAGCCAAGGTGCTTTAAAACTGCATAAACATCTAGGCCAGTAGGCCTACAACAAAATAGTGTAAATAAAGACTGTAACAGCCAGGCCTTCAACAACAACAAATGCACCTATAAGTTTGGTAACCTAACGTGTTGTTGTGATGACGTAATCAAAACGCGGCGACAAGCACGGCGCGCGACCATGCTCGCGGCTGGCTCACAGCCAACATGTCTGCCACTTGGAGATATTTCAAAATATCAGGGAAAGAGGCGCGTATTGCGATTTGTAAAACGTGTTCAGCTGACATTTCTCGAGGAGGTGTAACTGCAAAGACTTTCACCACTTTGGGATTACTCCACCACTTGAAATCAAAACACCCGGAAAGCCGAAAGGGCCTTTTTAACCATTTTCGGCCGATAATTTTCGGTGGCCGAATATTCGGTGCATCCCTACTAATTATGTTGTGTTCAACGCATAAAGCTGGACATTATCATGCAAGTAAAAAAGGCATAACATTTTTAACTGCAAATTCTTTATGTGCTGAATAAATCTCTAGAGAATGCTCATTAAATCTGAATATTATTTGCATATCACATATGTTTAAATCTTGAAATGTCACAGAATGAAACCTAATTCTGAAAATCATAGCAGAATTGGCTGTTTATCAGGATGTTGTGGTATTGCATGTAAACGTAGCAGCTGTTGTTGAGGCTGTACCTTGACAGTGTGGTCCTGAGTGTTGTTGTCAGCGATGGCCTGCAGGAAGGGCTGAGCGTGGTCACTCAGGGTGATTCTGCGGGAGTACATCTTGGCTTTGTCCGGGGTGGTCGTCCCCAGGGAGCTGCAGTGGTCCTCATCCTTCTCCTCGTTGTAGTTGTAGTGGATCTGACTCGTCTGCAGCCCCCCCGAGAATATGGACGACTGGAGCCATTCTGTGCAGAGGGAGAAAAGTGGATGTTTAAATTAAAATGCAGAGTTTGAGATCTTCATTTTCAGACTAAGTTGGGTGGAGAAAGATTTGTTCTTGACATTTTATGTGTGAACAATCTGTGAGTGAATGTTAATGTACATAACTAGTCGAGTAATTAAGTAAGAAAGCAGATTTCATGCTTACTTACACATGCTTGTCTCTATATTAAATATGTAATCATATTTTTGTATTGCCTTTTATCTGCATTATCGCTGTTGCTGTAACGCTGTACATTTTCCCTCTTCAGGACTAATAAATGGATTTTGACATTTACACACAGATTGTCGATTTTCTAAAACAAATAATATTGAGCTTTAAAATCACTTGACGTACTGGCACATTCGATCTCCATGGGGGACAGGGGGGTGCTCTTGGCCAGGTAGGAGGCGTGGAGGCCAAGCAGCAGACCCAGGTTCCTCTCGGTGTCGATGAGGGGGGAGGAGAGGCTGCTGAGGTCCGGGGTGGTGACCGTCTCCTGGTTAGGCTGCAGACGATAACACATCAGAATCTCAAACACTGGAAATACAGCGGCCGTTTGTACAATGCAACAAGTTCCTTCGCTATTTAGTCTGCAAGGATATATTAGTTCTGACACGCGTTCATGGATGTATAAAGAAAACTGCGTCCAGCGTCAATGGCAAGGCCTCGTTCATTCAAGAAAGTTGCTCAGTGAGTCAAAAAATGGGCTATATAAGTATTTGTACTGGGTAGATGATTTTGCAAAAAAACCATTTTACGCTGATTAACAGATTTCTCTTCTCAAATGCAAGTCAAGGGGAAAAAGTCCTTAAGGCCCAATGAAGTCAAATGGTAGTTGTAGTACCGCCATTTGGCCACTATGAACATTTGTTTCAACAGCCAGTGCCCTTCCTCGGGGTTGCTTGTATTCCATAATCAATTCACATAGAGAGGCGAAGTCCCTCCCTTTCCGGGGGAGCTCCATGCCTTATTTCATAAAAAGTATGAATTGAAGTCAATGGAGAGAGAAAGATTATCTTTCGATCCCGTTTGAATTGTGCCACGAATTACACATATGATGTTTGTCAATTTAAAAGATAATTTTGCAAGTCAAAAAAATATAAATGTGTCGTAAAACTGTGAAGTAACACTTTTTTTTGTGTGAAACCGCTCAATGAACTACATCTCCCGTCTCGCACCACACACCAACACGGCCGTCATGTTGGCACATTTCACTTCTTTCTTTTCAGAATAGA